CACGACCCCGGCATGCCCGGCAGAGGAAGCAGTCGGTCAAAGCGCTCGTCCAGAAGTTCTTGCAATCTGAGGTACGAGGCATAGACAATGGAAGTAGATTCTTGTAAAGTCCAGAGAGCATCTTGGACGGCCTCGGGCAGTTGCATCAACATCGAGGCTGGCAGTGCCGCCACATGGGAGACATCGCTGGGATTATGTGAATGGGGAGGCTCAAGAAAGAGCATGTCGGCAATAATTGAAGTGGGCGTCATGGTGACCGTGAGTGAGGAGTCAAGAATGGCTGTGCCAAAGACCCAAAAGCCTTGTACGGTTGGGTGGAGTTGAGGACTCGAGAGCCAGAGAGTGAGACAGTGAGAGAGGAAGTTGGACGTCGAAGAGGGGAGGATTAAACTTGAAGAGCATCCAGGTCAGTATATATGCATCACGGCTTCGCAGCACGTTTTAGACGCCGGTGGAGCGAGTACTTGAACAGTATAGTCAGATCAGGCCACGGAGATTTTTATATGCGCCATGCATTCAGCCCATATAGAGCCATGACAGACTGGGTAGTGGTCCAAGAACTGGCTGTTTTGATTGGACCGGAAGCTTGCATCGCGAGGTGGGAAACTCCATATCGTCAAAAACGCCCGAGAAGCCAACTGAATGTGCTCAAAAGAATCATTCCTCCTAGCCTGCATTGGCTGAAGACAAGGACTCAACTAATGTGACGTATGTCAGTGATACAACAAAGAATCATCTTTCCTTTCTTTCTCAGAGCCTGATCTTGGCCATGGACGGATGTTGGAGCGCGCATCAATCACCTCGTGACCTTTTTCCTCAGACATCTCCGATCCAGTATGGAGTATGTTGACAGAGTGCCACCACAATTCCATCCACACCTGGGAAGCTGATCCGCAAGAGCACCGCGTGGGCCTTGGGCGAAATCCATCTGAACAAAAAGCACAATGTGACGCCGATTCTATTCAACTTTTCCTCCGGATAAAGAGAGCCGTGAAAATCGCAAGGTCGCATTGAGTGGGGTTGACGCTGTGTCCCTCCGTCATGGTCATATCTTCCACAAAGCCGCCCAAAACCACCAGGGTGAGTCCTCGACGCTGTCTGAAAAGATAATGCGTCGACGGGGAGAACACGTTGCAACGTGCCTTTGAACGTTGATTTCACGATTTACTGGATTCTACTCGATGGATCAGCGATCACACAGCAAGCGGTTGCAACCGACCAACAACACATACCGTTGGATGAGGTGCACCCCGGAAGCAGTCTCGATGACGCCACTCAGTTCACCAGGTTGCAGGGCAAATGCTGCATCCTCAAACTCCTTCTGCATCTGTCCTTTGCCGAAGAAACCCAGGTCGCCACGCTTCCGAGCACTGCTGCAGTCCGACTCGGAGACAGCGAGGTCGCCCAGGGTCTTCTCGCCGGAGCGGATCTGCTCTTCGTAACCCTTTAACATTTGGATCGCATCTTCCTTTGACCGGGTGATATTCGTCTCTCTCCAACTCGAGGGACGCCGGCTATCCTTGTGCTTGACCAGAAGATGGGCTGCACGGATCTTGCCTTCACTGGCAGCCCCATCAATGCGGGCATTGGCGGATGAGCTGTGGTGTTGGGCCATGTAGATCTTGAGTTTGTCCGTGTCGGCATTCTCGGGCGGTTCCCATCTTGATTCGTGCGTCTTCTGATTGAAGTAGTACGGCAGGTTCTTGGAGTTGGAGTGGCGGACCTCCCAGTCAGGGGGCAGTCCAGTATCGGTCTCAGTCTGTTCGAAAGAGTATCAGTAGATATTCATTTTCGCTGGTGCAGGGTTTGGCGTCAGTGTAACTCGCGTACCATGGCTTTCTAAAGCAACCCGGCTGATGCAGCACCGTTCTTAGGAGGAGATTTTTGTCACGGTGTGATCCTGTAGATGAAAGTACAGAAGGGAAGATGATTTCTTGTTGAGATGCCCCGGTTGGTGTTGAGCGCCTGCTATTCAAAGCGCGACCGAGGTGGGGCAGCGGGTTCGTCGTTCGTCAGCAGGTCAATAATGTCAACGAAGTGCTGGGCTGGTAAGGGAGGGTAACATAGGGCTGGAAGTGGCTGATGGGCAGGAACAAGAGCCTGACTGGTTAGTCTCATGCGGTCTGGACGGTCATCGGTTCACTGGTTGAGCCCGTACATGCGTGGGTTGTGGAGGTGAGAGTGTAAGAACGTCAGAGGTCATTAGACCAGCATTTAAGAGTTATTCAGGTACTAGGATCCCGTACCTAAGTTAACAAGAAACCCACCAGACACAGTCACTTGGGATGGCCACACACAGTGGATCTTTGTTTGGGGGAAGACGCTCTAACTTTTGGCTAGGTAGACAAGGTAGGCTAGGTAACTGTACTCGGTACAAGTACCTCTTACGGAGCACCGTGACTGCGAGGCAAATTGCGGGGAGCAAGAATTCGTGCCCTTTCGTACTGACCACTTCTTCGACAACATCGCCAGCACCATCTTGCTATCTGAACGCGTCGAGTCGCTTTGACATCGTGTTAATACGATAGCAGTAATTTATTACACGCTCCAGCAATTACGCCCTTCTATTCGTTTTATCTGCACAATTACTCAGCAAGATCATCCCTCCGCCTGAAGAGCACCTGGTTATCCGACAGTCACCAAAGTCAGCACCCACCAGCGTGCATTCGCCCTGAAGTGTCGCTTTCAGAAACGCGTTCTCAGGCTGCTCTACTCCCCTAGTGTACCTCTCCAATTTCACGTATTCAACATGTCTGGTGCCGCCTCTCCATCTCCGAGCGAGGGTGAGAGCAAGCGTGGCGAGGTCTCTTACAGATTTTGTCAAGAATGGTAAGCATCCAAAGTTACCTCATGTTATGTTTCTAACCTGGTTACCCCAGTTCGAACCTTCTGTACCCAAAGGAAGACCGTGCGACATCAACCCTCCTCTATATTTGCAAAGCATGCCACGCCACTTCACAGCACGACTCTGCCTGTACCTACCGCCAACAACTTGGTGCCAATGTTCAAGAGACTGCCGGAACAACCGCTGATGTTGCACACGATCCAACGGTGGGTTCTGCTATCTCTGAGCTGCCACCTCTCTGCACCCTTTGTGGGGACCCGTTGAGATGCAACACATGTGGCGCCATCTAGCAGGCCAGGCTCTGGGGAGTTCAGAAGACTTTGAAATCAGGTCTCTTGAGTTCTCCTCTTCTCCCCGAGTCTAGCCTGAGGTTCTGAGACACTTGACTGACGACTTGCTTTACATTTTGTACAGCTTCCTCGCGCACCCAAAAAATGCCCAAAATGCCGGGAGACGGAAGCAGTTTATTTTCAATCGCAGCAGCGTGCCGCAGATACGGGGATGGTGAGTCCTTGTCTCGTGACCCTCAGCCTGAGCATTCTAACTGGAACCCAGAAACTGTACTATGTTTGCACCTCCTGCAATCATGTCTATACTGTCGTTTGAGCGAGGTGTTTATGGCAGGCTTTGGTATATCATGGTTGTGATACCCATACACTAGAGGCGCATTCCTAAACAACGACTTGAGACGAATTTTATGAGAGCTGAAAGGATAGGACGAGACCCAAAACGAATTCGGGGTTTATTAGGTTGGCCAGGAGCGCAATTCGCGCACAAAAGCGCATAACACGCATCGAGTGTGTTGGTCTATAGTTTTTTATTCCGTCAACTGTTTGTACAAGAATTCTTATCAGACCCAGCAATGGGCAATTCGTCTTCCACCTTGCGCAAGCATACAGTATTGCTCAGTCGTGGAATTATACATGCATCGGCGCCAGCGACAAGATCTTTGACCACTTTTTATCCCGTAGTTCTGCCCCCACGATACTTGATAGCCTCGTCCCAATCGGGTCCCCGTTCTTGTTGATGAGGACACAGGCATTGTCGTCGAAGCGTATCAGACTCCCATCTTTCCTGCGCTCCTCCTTCCTCGCTCTCACAACCACTGCGTGTCGGATGTCACCTCTTCGTACTTTGTTCGCAATACTCAAACTCGATCCGCCGGGGGTTTCTGCGCCGAAAGACTTTTGTTTCTGAACAACGACGATAATCCTGTCACCTGAGGGCGGAGAGTAATCAGCAAAATGGGAACTCGGTGATTCGGAGGCTCTTCACTGTACCTATTCTTGCAGCCTGCTTCTTTTTCCTCATGACAGCGACACACTCGACAATGGCAGCTCCGGAGTTGTCGATGCAGTTAAGCATCGTCTAGCATGAATCATCATCAGCATGAGACACAGGCATCGTGGCCAGCTTCTGGAAATACTCACCTTCAATTGTATCATCGTGGCAGCATAATGCGCGCTATCGTTAAAGAGGACACAGGATGGCAAGTGTAGTTTGCAACTCGCAAAGCGAAGAATGAGTCTAGCTGCAGATAAATTATGAAGTGGATAGAGATTCAATTGGGTCCCCAGGTGGGTGCCAGGTGAAGATGTGCATGGGTGGCCGATGGGCGCATGGTTTTCCGTGGCCGATCGAGACGAAGACACGGCACGCCAACCAAACAGAGAGGTCGCTTACCCTTATTTCGTTAAGCTCGTCAACCCTCCTTGCCTCCGTGGTCGCTCCAGCCGCCGCCGCCGACGTTCCACCCCCTCTCTAAGGCCTCGAAAAGTCACCCTTCCATCGCCTTGGACTTGCCTTCCCTCTTTCATAAAGTGAAGCAAGCTGAAAGTCTCTCTCTCTATTTCTCCAGCTTTAGGAGACAAATCATGCACAATTAAGGTGCCTAATTTATCGGACCATTATGTCACTACGTGTACACATTCTCTTTACCATTGTTCCGCTCATTTTTGCCTCACTCAGGCTGGCCTGATTCCAGACCGCGTTCCAGTGGTCAATTGTTGATTCAGCCCCTTCCACTCCTTCCAAACCACCCTCAGCTGAACAACATACCAATCCCCGTCATCTTGCTCCCTCCACCTTTCATATTGTTGTTTGTTAATGACATATACCACGTCTCTGTTGTTGAGTGCCCTCTGTACACGCGACAATGGCTCGGGGAAAGGGCGCGGCAGAACCCGAAAAGAGCCAGCGGCTTTCCCTTGCTGAGCTGGCCGCTCATGACGATGTGTGCTCAGATGTCATGATAGATAATGTCCGTTGCACTATATGTCATGAGGAGACTGTCGCGCTGACACGGAGCAGGCTTATTACAAGGCGAGAATCCGAAAGAATCGCACTAAACACATCCCAATCCGCGGTATCAAGGAAGACGAAGTCCCTCAGATTCTACTACACAAGGTCATTGTCGACAAAGATGTGGATGCGGCAGAGAAGGCCCTTCTCGCGCTCCCTGGGTTGAAGAGGTATAGAAAGAGCTTGCGCAGCAAAACCGAACAGGAACATTTTTTGCGTCACCTGAGAAAATACATAGAGATGTACCAGACTGATTGCGCTTGGGAAGTCTCTACAACCAATCGGTACACCATTACCACTTACGAGGCTGCGGTCACAGCAAGGAGACGGATTCGACAGGGAGATACCATCAAATATCTCACTGGCACACTGGTCCCTTTGACCACTGAAGAATCAGCCGACTTGGACCTGACGAATCGCAATTTCAGCATAGTCGTTTCTAGTCGCAAGAAGAACTCATCCATCTTTTTGGGTCCTGCTCGCTTCGCCAATCATGATTGCGACGCAAACGGACGCCTTGTGACGCGTGGAGAAAACGGGATGGAAGTGGTTGCCATGAAAAATATTGAGGTCGGCGACGAAATTACCGTCTCATATGGCGATGACTACTTTGGGCCGGGCAACATTGACTGTCTGTGCCATACCTGTGAACAACTCGAGCGAAATGGCTGGACATCCAAGGCTGGCATTCTGGACACTCCCAGTCGCACCTCCACTCCGGTCCATGAACCTCAATCAGTGGTCCAATCTCGTGGCTTAAAGCGGAAAAGAGACTCGAACCCTTCACAGTCTTCTTCCGTACCACCTCCGTCGAAGCATGCCAAAGGCGTGCAGTCCCCATCTAAGTTGCAGCATTCTTGGACCCCTTCAGACAGTTCAGATGCAGAAACGCCCTTGCTTCCAGTTGAGCGAAACTCCGAACCGATCGAGGATCTGCGGACCCTTGCTTCTGAGACAGGCGCAGCACTCTCGCCACCTCGGAGTCCATTGCAACCCGAAACGCACGGGTCCGGAGAGTTCTTGACTCCAGTGGGTATAGAATCATCTGCTCCGGAAAATGGTGTGGACCATGGTTCTGAGCAGTCGCCCGGCTTGTCGCAAACATACACAAATTCCAGTGCAAGCAGGAAGAATGCCAACCTTCTAGGCAAGATATGCTCACGTGCTCCATTATCCCCGGCACCGACTTCTCCTTCAAGCCATGGTTCTGCAACTGAGGCGGGCCAGTCACGGATACCGATCCCCAAACCTTATAATGCCGATACTGTTGTCACGGTAAAGGTCGAAACTGTCCAGACAACGAAGGTGGAGGAGGATGAGGAGGAGGCTTATTATGACGACGAGGATACAGTCGTCATGATTGAGTCTAAGCCAGAATCTGCGCAAACCACTGGAAGCCTCCGGCAATCGCAGGAGCGGCCAAAAAGACCGAGCACGATCACCGAGAATAACTCTTCTGTTATTCCTCACACCGTTTCGATTCTATCAACGACGACAGTCAGTAAAGAGGTGCGCCCTGTTGAATCACCCGTTGCCGCAGCCACGGAAACCAGTGTGCTACCATCCATTGAGCCCGTAACCGTCTCAACAACAGTCAGTACTTTGACTGTCCATCCGGTGACTGGCACCATCCGCATTGCGGGCGATTACATCCTCACTAGGAAATTACTTGCCCAGCCTCATGATCGTTGGGTACAGTGCCACAACGACAAATGTCTTGGGTTCTTTATCCAACCTAACGGATACCAGACGAGACGTGAATGCCCGCGGTGCGAGCGTCACAGTATGCTCTATGGATTTCCTTGGCCGAAGACTGATCCAGATCCTCGAAAGTTGCTTGAGCGTAGGTCTCAGGGAACTGGCCGCGGCAAGAAGAACAATGCGCCGGCCACCGAGTACAGTGCATACAGACGCAAAGGGAGATGTGGAAAAGGGACATGGGTGGAAGGTGGAGGAGACCCGGAGGAACGGGTCATGGACCATCGCACCATCCATCGCTTCGTGTTGCCCGAAGAAGAGAGAGAGCTGACCCGGAAGGGCTTACTGAAAGAAGCTGAAATTGCTCGCGCAGCGGGAGACCACGCCTTGGCTATTTTGGAGGCGAGGATGCGCGCAAACTCCAGCTCTCGCGCCCTGAACCACGGAACAGCAACGGAAAGTGCTACCAGAGATGTTAGCGAAAGTGGGAGTGCCACCCCTGATGAGCTGAGGAGGAGAAGTAACAGGTTCGTCACGCGGCCTGTAGGCGTCTACACGGACAAATTCTAGGGGAAAATGTGGGGACGTGTGCCCGGGTAAAGTGGATGTAAGAAGTGATACCTACGCCGTGACTGTTGTGGCTTCCTGCCAGAAAGACCGCAGAATACATCAGGTCACAAGCACCAAGTTATGCTGGGAGGCTGTGGCTACGTTTCGTCGCGGGCAGGCAGGATTGGTCTGTACCCAGACAGCAGAGAGGAGGATTTGTACATAATGTCGCTATGCCAGAGTTCCCTGGGAATCTTGGCTATACATTTCTTGAAGAATGTTATGAGCAAACCCATGCCACCGTACGCAGTCAATGAATCTGTCAAGTCGACATGGCTTGCCTACAGGGAATTCACGTTGAAAATGATGACGCACAGTGCTTAAAGACACCATGCACAGAACATTTCCACGTACAATAACATGAGGAGCCGATAATGATCCCAGGCTGATAACGACCACGAAAATAGTTCCTGGATCTTGGGACCTCATATCTGCGTCGAGTCGTTTAACATGCCTCAAGCATGATGGTAAGCCTCCAACCAAATCATTGATGGAATTCTCGGGCAGGTATCCGTTAGTGGTACCCGTATAGTGAACAATCCACAAGGCAGAATGGAAAATGGACCAAGTCTTCCGCTGCTGGTAGTTCTTGAAAAGGACACGCAGAAGCATTGCCAATAAGGACTCCCTCAAACACAAGATTGCCCCCACAATGTCTAGATTCTTCAATGTAGGGAGTGACTATCTAACAGTACCTGCACGATAGAAATAGATCGGTCCTGCTAGCGAAAAAAGACTCCCCTCGGGAATGATTCATTTGGGCACCGTATGATGATGAAGAAGCCATGGAGACAAAGCAGTTCATGATAAGGATTGAGTGCCGTGCATTGCTACTGTTTAATGCAGTGAAAGGTGATCCGAAGATCCATGAATTGATGTCACTGAGATACTGCAACAATGAAAACGAGTCCAGCAAACCTTGCATATCTCTGCATTTTCTAACATTCAAACACGAGAAGACGAAACAAGGTTGGAGGAGAAAGATTATATCGCATCTCGGAAGACTTGCTCTTCTAAGTTTCTCGATCCTCATTTGCTCCCCCGAACTTTTTCCAACCAGGGCGAAATTTGGTCAATAGAGCTCTCACCGAACAGCATATTTGGTCAGTGGGAGGAATCTAGAAGATGGCTCCTCGATCAAGAGGTGCAAAGCGTGTGGCAGATGCCTTCGGTACGCCCATTCTACTCCAACATTGATGATGGCAGAGCTGACACCTCCCTATAGCATCTCCTTCGCTCCACCATGTCTGTTCTTCTTGTCTCCAGACTCTGTCCAAACGGCATTACGCTTCTGCGGCCACTGCCCAAGCAAACCTTGGATCTCAGTCATCTCCGTCTATCACTCAGCTTTCCCCATCAGGGCCTGAGGCGTCCTTGTCACCACAACCGGTCTACACAATCAAAGCCGGGATCGTCCTTTCCCGCCCACCCCTAATCACACCAGACCCTCATCCCTTCGAAACAGCATTTCATCTCTATCAACGCCGTCTCAATGAGCGCCTCGTCTTGCCCTTCACGCAGTACTTCTACTACCGCCGTAATACACCTGCATTTGAACAGTGGCGCAAACACCGCCGCGAGCGAGGCGGTGCCGCAACGCGCGACATCGGAAAGTACAACGCGTATAGCCCTGAGGCGTGGAACGATGAAGTGCTTGTGGGGGACGAGACCGGGAAACCGGAGAAGATACTAGAGCAACTCATCACCGAGGAGGGCAGAGCTGACGAATTTACTGGACAAGGGGATCCCAAGTTCGCGGGTTTGAGGCGGGTGACAGAGGCGGATGAGAGCAACGATCAGAGGAGCCTCGAGAGAAGGTTACAGAGGACGTTGTATCTGTTGGTTAAGTTGAAGAACAAGAGCGGACAAGCAAAAGGCCAGGAGGTGGGCGACGACGGTGAAAGATGGCTATGGAGGTTTCCCTCTGGACCAGTCATTGGGTTCGAAGGGCTGAAAGAGGTAAGAGAGAATAAGCTTCCCCATTCTCTGCCATACATTGGAGCTGTGTGCCACCATCCTGCAGCTCATCGAGCGCATGTGTGATTGAAGAGCGCTGACCGACAATCTATGAAAACTGCAGGCCGCCCAACGCATCCTCTTGAGCTCACTAGGCCCAAACATGAACACCTTCTTCGTCGGCAACCACCCTGTTGGCCATTACGTGGCCAGCTTCGCCTCCCCACGCCCACGTCCATCCTCTCCCCCTTTATATATCCCTGGATCCTCGCCTGCACCAGATGCTGAAACCATGGAGCATCCCTCATCATCTACACAAGCTAGTGCAACTACACAAGTTGAGAAGGCCAACGATCTTACCCCGTCAAAGCAAGATCTCGCCGCAACACAAGCTCTGGTAGATGGGGAAAAGACGTTCTTCATGAAAGCCCGGATAATGGCTGGTCAAGCCGACGTCTCATTCCCCTCCCATACCAATCTCAGTGGGAAAGATGCAAAGGCTGTGGCTGATACGAAAGCTTCAGGTGTCGACAAGGGCGATGTCAGGGATAAGAAGGGTGTTATTGTGGATATGGGGTTGGACGAAATCGAAGATTTCAAATGGTTGAGTAAAGACGAGGTGGAGGAGCATGTCCATCCAGACTATTGGGTCAAGGTGAAGAATATGTTGGTGACGCAGTGAGGCACACCAATCCTCTTTCATGTCCTCGGTACGCCGCCAGGAAGGAGCGGGCACTAAAGACGCAGGTGGAGAACGAAGGCAGGATTCGGGAGTGAGGGAAAAGCCCTTGGCGCTTTTCGAAGGCCTTCCTTGTCTATCTGAGGTGCTGTGGAACAAAGAGGACACAGGCATCTTGTTCTGTTGCAAAGGAGTAAGTATCCTATGCACACTTGAAAAGGAGCAAAAAGGCAACCGACCACTACCAAAGGTAGATCTATTTCCCCCATGTCCGGACCATGAGCCTGAGGTGACTAAGGACAAACGGCGAAAGAGCAGACAGACGCCTTGACAGTGTCCATGTAGTATTTACGATACAAGTGTATATCGCAAGGGGGGACCTGTACAATATATATGGGCGAAAAAAAGGTGAAATACAAGTGCCAGGACGATAGCATATCTCAACATCCTTGTTCGATCATTATTCAACGACACCAAGTCGGTTCCATGTACCGACCAAGTGACTATCGCCCTGGCCTTAGACAAAGTGTGAAAAGGAGGTACCGTAGACGGGTGCAGCGACAAATATCTCGCAATTTGATGCAGGACAAGACGAGATGATTATGGTCATGATCGTGATTGTGTATCTAATATGCAAAACCCATCTCATCTCATCTCATCTATTATTTGTGACCAGAATTTCCCAGTCTCGAGGATTCTCTGTCCCATTTTGTTCCCTCCTTCGTTCGAGAAGAAACCCCCAATATGTAACGCCGAACCTGAAAAAATATCTATCGACTCTTGCGTAGATAGATGGATAGATAGATTGCCTAGGGACCACATAATCACCAATTCCCCTCTTGCGCGGTGAGTGCGTAGTGCGTCGTGGTGTGGTGTGGTGCGACGACGACGACATGTGGTCAAAATCGCACAAGGACATCCACGACCACGCCCCGGTGATCGCTCATCCATACCTTGTCATCGAAGCGATTAGGCAGCACCCCGTACGTCTGGACCATTTCCCTGATTTGCTCGTAAGAATGTGCCTCTCCTGGTCGCGGTGCCACGCTCTCGTCCTGGTGGTGGTGGTCTTCCCTCTGCTGGCCGCCCTGGGTGGGTATACCCAGGTGCACAAAGTCGATTCGCTCCCTGCCTCCGGCGGCGGGATCGGCAGGGAATCCAGTAAATGTGCGCTCGTTGCCGTACGCATAGATCTTCCCGTCGTCGTTATTGTGGGGTTTGTCGTCGCCGGATGACCCGACGAGGCGGCGGGTGTCCACGAACCCGGACCCGGGCTGGTTGAGGACCTCGTAGGCGTCGCCGTCCGGGTGGCTGTTCAGGTCGCCGGAGAGGAAGGTGAAGGTCGGGTTGAACCTGGAGCGGAGCCGGGAGGCGACCCGGAGGATCAGTTTGGCGGATTCCCGACGGGAGACTGTGCCTTCGTTGTCCAGGTGGGTGTTCATGGCCAGGATGAGCTGGTTGCCCTGTGTTCCTGGGGTACTCGATAAGGTGGTCGCAGCTGTTGAAGATCCGTGGTCCCTAGTGTCATTGTTGTTGTTGTTGTTGCCGACGAGGACCGATTCCAGCACGGCGCACGTCAAAATCCGAATGCTGTCGGCATCCCAGCCCTTCTTGCCTACCTCGCCCGTCTCGTTCAACCAGACAGTTTCAAAGTGAATGCATTTCCACGCGGACTTGCGGAAGAAGATGGGGCTGTACTCCCCCTTGGTTTTGCCGTTGTTGCGGCCCACCCCGACGTAGGTCCAGTCGTTGTCGTCACTGGAGCCTTGCAGCGCCGTCGAGGTGTTGAACGTGCGACTGTGCAGGTCCAAGAGTTGCCTGTGCAGGACCTCCTGCATGCACACCAGCGTTGCCTGGGGTGCGAAGTGCGGGCGCGTGTGGTACTTGAAGTGGCTCGAAAGGTAAGGGAAGCGGTCTGGCCACAGCTTTTCGCTCTTGTTGGGGGTGTCGGTCGCGAAGCGGACGTTGTGAGTCAAGATCCTGACGGGGAGGAGAGTAGGAGACGAGTCTTCCGGCATCGCTGCCTTCCCTGCAACGACCCCCGGTGGAGATGAAGCGTCACCCATGTTGAAGTGTGTATACTATGCAAATTCGCAGCGAAGTGATAGGCGTAGACCCTGGAGGCCAGAGGGGCGAAGATATTATTGCTTGAGATTTCCCTTTTCTTTGGGGTCTTATCCTTTCTTCGATGAGAGCACGAGGACCATTCGTACTGAGGGACGAGAACTACTCTTTGCAGTCAAGGTGTAGGAATCTGCCGAGAAAGGAAGGGTGTTGAAGAGGTAAATATAGTTTGCGGGATGGAGTGACAGGTCCTTACTGTTGTGTTAAGCCCTGGCGCGTATCACAACACAAAAAGGAAATTAGCTTTAATTCTGACATGACCCTCCGGTGAGGCTGTGACAACTGGGGCCAGAGCGAAAAGGAGGACCTTCAATAACAAACACAACTGAACCGTTGGAAACACAGCAGAACTAGCAGAACCACCAGAACCAGGGTTTCAAATGACGTCATTTGTAGAATTATATGCCCCAAGCACGTATATGGCATGTTGAGGAGATCTATGGTCAAAGAGTGAAGCCACATGAGGGCCTCTAAGCATAGTAAGTGGTTGCTAGGAGAGGCGAAGACTGTATAGTGATGCATGAGATCTCTCACGGTCTAACTAGTCCTTCTCTACTCATGTTTGACATGCACCACAGGCTATGCCCGAAGAGAGTGCCAGCTCACCCAGCTGACCATCACGCCATTTGGTCTCCAGCTTCTAGGGAGCTCTCGCTTGTGTACAGATTAGTGCTCGTGGATGCCATGAGTGCCATAATAGGTGACCAGATGTAGATCTGGTTTCTGTAGGGCATCGTCTCGTGGAGCCACGTGGGAATCTTCACTGGAAAGCAGCTTGTCATCAATCCCAGCCTTGTTCCAGAGATTTCGGGTGAAACCAGGACGCCATTTCTTTCTTTCAACGCCCTAGGTCGTCGCTGTAATCAGTGCATGGTCAAGCACGTTTGACCAGTCGATCATTCCGAAGATATCATGTAGTGTTACATGAGGCAGCACGCTCGTCCCATTACTTATCTGCCAGGGAACCCGACGACTGGAAATCGACTTCAGCGAAAACAATGCTGCATAGCTTGTCACGAGAGCATCTTTCCTCAAACGCAGACTTACTGTAACCTGGACCCTGTGGATCGACAATGATTTCAGGATATTCACTGCTGGGTCGGTCCAGGGACGTGACTCGCCGTGGCGTTCGTGATAGAGGAGTCAGAACGTCTTAAGGCTTCGAGAAAGCTCCGCTCGCCTTCTTCCTACACACATTAGAAATTGCTTTAACCGTTGCGTAGAACTGAGCTGGCTCTGAAGTGGCATCTCATACGGTGAGATCAAGAACATGGCAAGTCATAAGAGGTGAGGAAGGATTTGGCGAGATGTCGGCTAGACTTTTTCAGTCGCTGTTGACAGAGACGCTAAACCTGATTTAGCTATTAGCGCCCTGACGCGAAACTGCGCCTTGAGGCCGACAAAGTCCAGAAGTCCACAATGATTCCATCGCAACAAGACCCTAAACATCCTCTTGAGCGCATCAACCCAAGCTTCACCGCATCAGGTATGTACTGCCTTACTCTTCTTGGCCGTTCCCATGTCTCCATCGTGGTTTCGACAATGACTTGAAAACCCGGTGGCTGGCTTCAAATCACATGTCGAACCGTGCATCACTTTTCCCATCCCGATCTCATCTGAACGTCCCTCCCAAACACTAATACTATCATCAGGAACGCGTCTAACGCCTGTGGCCCCTCAGTCTGTATCTTTATTGTTTCCCCGTGAGATGTCGACATGAGTGATACCCCAGACGGTGGACATGCGGTAGCCGCGCCTGGGGAACCCTCCGACCCGGCGACCACCAACGAAGAATCGATTGCGCAAGGTAAGGAGAGGGCAAAAGAAATCCTCGCCGCATCCGGTATCGATGTCGCGAGGAAGGACTCTTCGACCGAGGTCAATGGTCATGATGGCAGCCCAAACGCCAACCGAAAACGCAAGCGCGAAACGCCAATAGACCGTCTCCAAGCAGCCGTATATGTCGACCACGAGTACCATTACAAGGCCCTCTTAGCAGAGCAGCTAGCACATCCATTGTTGTCACATGAGAAAAAGCAAGAGCTTGCGTTATATCAGAGCCTTCGACAACGACGAGATCATGACCCGGGCTCTATCTTCGGGTATGGATATATGGGATATGGCAATCCCAGGACAGATGAGAAAAATCTGCGCGATCCCATAATCTATCCGCGCCAAAGAAGGCCCGGCAAGAAAAAGACCTTGCCGCCCCGGGTCTCGCGAAAAGAACTCGCTATCCAGGCAGAACAGAATGAAGAACTGGTGCCTATACGTCTTGACATCGACTGGGGCAAAATCAAATTACGGGATACCTTCACCTGGAATCTCCATGACCGAACGACCTCCATCGACTATTTCGCGGAGAAACTGGTCGAAGATTTCGGTCTCGAAGTCCAGAACTGCCGGCCACTCGTTCAAGCAGTCGCAACTCATATGCGCGAACAGATCATCGACTATTGTCCTCAGATATATGCAGACGATGAGCCATGGGAACCATCTCTGCCATATTTTGCCTACAAAAATGACGAAATGCGCATTCTGGTCAAGCTCAACATCACCATCGGTCAAAACACCCTCATTGACCAGTTCGAATGGGAGATCAACAATCCATTCAACTCTCCTGAAGAATTTGCACGTCAAATGACGAGCGATTTATCGCTAGCCGGGGAGTTTACCACTGCGATTGCACACTCGATCCGCGAGCAGAGCCAGCTGTTCTCCAAATCCCTACATATTACGGGACACCCATTCGATGGCCGGCTGATCGAGGATCCAGATTTGAGGGAAAACCTCTTGCAGTCGCCTTTGCCCACCACCTTCCGGCCTTACCAGGCCGCCAAGGACTACGCACCGTACCTGTACGAACTCAACGAGGCAGACTTGGAGCGGACCGAGCTGTCCATATCGCGTGAACAGCGGAGGCAGAAACGATCGACGAATCGTCGTGGTGGTCCGGCTTTGCCGGATCTCAAAGATCGTCAACGCACAATCCGCTCGCTCGTTGTATCGTCTGTCATTCCTGGCGCGGCTCTCAGCATGGAGGAGAGTCGAATATTCAGAATCACCAAGGCCAGCCGGAAGTCAGCACGCGGTCAGCGAGATGGGTTTGAAGATTCCGACGAATCAGATAGTGAAGATTCAGCGCCTGATTCACCAGCCATCCCGACTCACTTGTTGCAACCAGGCACTGCCCGTACCAGAGGTATTAGGAATGCCGCGTTGAGTGCCACTGCGGGCATCAGATCGAACTTGAGCGGCTTTGCGTCGGTGAGATCCGCGACTCCAGAATCGGTTGCTCCAACACACCACGATGGCCGAGCTTCTGCTAGAAAGAGAGACTACAAGGAAGAGAGCGACGAGGAATCTGCTTCTGGAAAATTGATTGTGATATTGAAGATCGGGAAAGCTAAGCTTCGAGAATGGATGCGTTCCCAACGAGCTAGGGACAGGGCAGCCCATGTCTCCAACACGTCGAATCAAGGCAGCCCACGACCTGGCAGCCATTCCAGATCTGTATCCGCAGCTCCTTTGAACCTCGCAGGGATGCCGCCTCCACCATCCCCCGTTCCAGCGGCCGCAGATATTCCAGGTGCTGTTGATGCTACACCAAGTCCGATCAATCCACCCGTATGTTCTCCCTCCCCCATTGAGAAGTTGGATCCATACTTACATTTTCTCCCCCTAGCCCCCACCGCCGGATTGGCTTGTCCGGGATTTGGAACGATTGCGGAAGACATATCCAAATGACCGCTTCGAGGCTCTCATGAAGCACACGGCGATTGATCCAAAGACTCAAAAGCTTGTTGCGCCGAACGAGTCGAATCGCTCATTTCCGCACAAATACGTTCCACGTATTAGATGTTCTGACTGTCTTGTATGCTCCCTCCCCATCAGATGCAACCTCTCTCGTCTGTCGAATATTCTAGATTTCATTCGACATCCCAGCATGGACACAAACTGACAATAATTTACAGGGCAAAGTGTACCTACCTGGCGAAGGGCTGAGCGCTTCGAATTTTGAGTCTCATCTCAAGAACCGCGCTCACAGGTCGAACGTGGATGAGCGACTGGCAAAGGAACCGTGATCCACTCGAACTTCAGTATTTGCCTCGACCGAGACTTGAGTTCGACCGACCCTGACGCCTGATATGTAAATGGATGCACAGCTAGGCGCTTCCAACTTTCCTCCTTCTCAAGGCTGAGGTCACGTGGAGCACCCGAATCTTTGTTGGTATACAACCTGTTGATTGGATGCTTTATCAGACCCCGGGAGCTTCGTGCTGGGAAAAAAAATTACATGGAAAGGAAGGCGACCGGAACAGCAGGAGGTTGCCATGTTGATAAATTTTGAGGAGGGGACCGCCAAAAGCTCCCATATTTTGGTTGGGAATAGTTGGTACATCCTCTTGCGGCAATGCCCGAAGCTTACGAGACACGTAGAGGTCATTGTTGGAACCAAGGACATTGGGCCAGCGAAGCTGTACAGGGATGGAGACGCTGATGGAAGCAAGTCCTTGGACATGGATTGAAAGATACCCCTTGAATACTTCTATCCTGCCCACTGTTTGACAAGAGGCATGCCTGCTGTAGATCCAGAGAATCCTTGGACATTTGTCTCTCAATAGCCTTTTTTACTGCCAGATCTGCTTGGAATGTTGAAAAAGACTCTGACGCTGTCTGATGCTGTATGTGAAATCAGGGCGTTTCTCTTGGTCGTGTGATCTTGGAAGACTTGGTCCAAATCAATATTGCTGCCTCGCTAGCTTTGCATCCCCGCATTCACACAATGGAAATTCAAATGCCCCCCACTAAACCAACTACTGCGTTAAATATCAGTCGAAAAGCGTCGAGTTGTTGGCGACTTCATCTGTGAAATTGCACGCCTCTTTTTTTGGACACCACTGCTTTGCTCAAAATGGCTGACGCAGCGGTAGCAGAGGGCATCAACAACCCAGACAATCTCACCAAGCAAGTCCTGTACCTTGAAATGGTCTGGATTCATGACTGACATTTACCGCCAGGTACAAGACCGCCGCGACAATCAGCCACAAAGTCCTCGAGGAAGTCTCCAAATGGCTGGTTGAAGGAGCAAAGATTGTCGACCTGTGCATCAAAGGTGACGAACTCCTCGAAGCAGAGCTTAGCAAAGGTAAGGGCATTCTATTTCCCCGCCAGGCCACAACTGAGATACCTCTTTCAAATGTGACCGTGCGCCGACAAAGACTTGTCAAAACATCCTGCTCTAACATACAAGGTCTGCAGTCTACAAAGGAAAGTCCATCAACAAAGGAATTGCGACCCCTTGCACAATATCTCCTAGTGCCCATGTCACCCCATTCACCCCTCTGGTCTCAGACGCCGATGACGCCGCCTTGACCATCAAGGCTGGTGAGCTGGTCAAGATTCAGCTTGGTGCACAGATCGACGGATATGGCGCGATTGTTGGGGATACCGTCGTGGTGCCACAAGAGAAGGGGAAGAAAGCAGAGATCACTGGCAGAGAAGCCGACCTGCTTCTCGCCACATACTATGCCAATGAACTCCTGCTGCGACTCATGGTGCCACCCGGACTTCTGGCAAGCGGCACAGAGGAAGAAAAGAAGAAGGCTGCCGCTGAAAAACCACCCACGCAGACCAAGATCATCTCGCTGATTGATAAGGTCGCAAAAGCCTATGACGTCCATGTCGTGCAGCACACCACGTCTTGGCTGTTTGAAAAGAATGAGATTGAAGGCAAGAAGAGGATCATCCTGTCCCCTGCGGATGGTGCTAAGGGGGAAGGCTCTGCAGACGTCGGCGAGGTGTGGGGGGTCGAAATGGGCATGAGTCTGGGATCCGGCAAGGTCAAAGAGTTGGACAAGCGGTCGACCCTGCTGAGGCGGACCACTACGACTTACGGTCTGAAGCGCCCGAGTTCACGACAAGTTCTCTCAGAAATCGTCAAGAAGTTCGGTACCTTCCCTTTCAGCTTGCGGCAATTGGATGACGAGAGAGCTGGCAAGGTCGGCGTGGTTGAGTGCATCAGGTCCGGGGTTCTGCGTGAATATAAGCCTGCCGCAGAGGCGGATGGTTCTCCAGTGTCGAGACTGTTCACCACCATTGGTAAGTTGAACCGTACCATGTTTGATTTAATGCTTTATGCTAACTACCGGTCTTTTGCTACAGCTATCACCAAGAATGGTCTTACACGCCTAGCGGCTCCGCCCCCGCTGGACTTGGAAGCCATCAAGTCCGACAAGAAGATTGAGGATGAAGAAGTTCTATCAATTCTCGAGCGACCACTCAGCAAGTCCACTGGCTCCAAGAGCAAGAACAAGAAAAAGAAGAAGAAGCCAGCCAAGAAGGCTGCAGCAGCGGCTACCACCGAGGAAGAGAGTGACGACGATGAGGATGACAGCGATGACGAATGAACAGCTTCTCCCTTGCCAAAGGCCAACAAATGCTGGCAAGTGGTTAACCAGGCATAAGGGTTATTTGGCAACTAAGCCAACGCGCTCTTGGTGACAGTCACTTTTGACATGCCACAAGATGCACGGGTAGCTGGTTGAGTATCTGACGCGACTGACGCTCACAACCGAGAAGAAGCGTGTTTCAGGACGGTGAGAGGATCTCAGGAAGGAGAGCACATGTATCGTGCTCGTCACCGCCGCCCCGATGGTCGCAATCAGTGGCCATGAGTTTGAAAGGGAAAATGAGCACCAAACGATGACCATCCGCAGAACGATCAATAAAGAAACTGTTGCGACCCTTGGATTCTGTGTAATTCGTAATTCTACCTAGGCTTTGCCGTGACTGGACTTCTTCCAACTAGGCGGTAGAGGAAGAGGGGCAAAAGCCAGGGGAGGCTGCCCGATACATGTCGCCACGTCATGATGAAGACAGTGACTGTTGCCTAAGATCAGGTTGAGAAGTGATATATGGATGAGTTGTCAGCTTCAAACAAACCCACGAGGTTCGTGGCTGGCTGGCTGGCTGGCTGCGAGCGTGTTTCCTCCAAGAGCTTTTGGGATAGATGGGGCGCGCGGACATTCAGGTCAATAACAAACAGGGATAGGGAGCTCTCAGCCTTGGGCCCTTTCAAGCGGTTTAGGGGGGCAAAGGGAGCAAAAGGGACGCCGAGGAGTCGCCGCTGCGGAGGCCGGCGGGCAACTGGGCAGGAGCAGCAACTCTGTGCCAGGCTAGTGGCCGTGTGGCCTAAGGCTAAGTGCCCCTTGCCCGATTCTTTTGTCACCACTGGATTCTGGTATTTCCTCGTTTGCGGAACCACAACACCATGCGCCATTAATAACTTCTTCGTCCTCGCACCTCGTCACAGCCTGCGCCCTCTGCCCGCTGAGCCGCATCCAAGGCTACAGTGAGTCCTCGACTTGCCCCTTCTGACACGTCCCTGAACTAATTGTCAAGCAGTCGGCGCGTGCGGCGCGGAGAAAGAAGGCAAGGATGGCCACCAGATCATTGCGGCACAGGTCGAGCCGCTATTCGAGTCCCGCAACATTTGGGGACAAAGAGGCTGCACCAAAGCCCGCTGAGAATGTCTCGACGAGAAATGGTCAACAGACGAGTCTGGACAAATGGATTGAGCCGGCTGTGCGACCTGCGGTCCCCAGCTTTGAAGATACAAAAGGTCTCGAGAGGGTGGGCGTGCTGGAGAATATGCAGCCTCTAGGGACCGCGCCGTCTCACCGATTGCTACAAAAGCTCAAACTGAATTATGTCCGCCCTTCGCCACGACCAGCTCCAGCACAGCTGGAAGAAGTTGTCACCCCCGTGGCAGAGCCTGAAAAGGTGGACTCGGCGTCACCGATGGAGGAGGACGTGGTGGTGGTAGCAGCACCAACAATTGAAACCGAGCAGCCTGAAATATTACCTGACAACCCATCAATTCCTCACGATACAATTGTCATTTCCAGTCCTCCACGTGGCCGTCCTTCTAGGAGAGACGTTGCAGATATGCACCAAGCAACAACCGTGTCGCCGTCTCCTGGCACATTATCATTTACGCCCACCACCCATGTCTCTCCCAAGCCGCTATCGATCCAGCAGCAACTCCGACAAGACCGACTTCGCACTCATGTCGACCGTGCTGTACGCGAAGCACATCAGAAGAACACGCCAGATCTGGTGCGTGGGCTCCAGAGAATCCGGGACGATGCTCAGATGAACCCCGACTTGTGGAATGTGTTGGAGGCTTTGATCAACAAATCTCCCAGCTCCGAGCAGTTTAAAGTTTTCAAGCGCTACATAAAGTCGGGCGTCAAGCAGCACAGGAGAGAAAGTCAGATGTCAGCGAGCCCATATCAACCTTCTCCTCAAATATTCAATGACCTCGCTTCCCCTGAACACCGAGAACGCTCGCCGAAACCCAACCACTTGGATGACAGTGGCCCCGTGTATTCTGAAGATCGACCTCGCAGAATCAATCTCTACTTCAACCTCCCGCGCGCCTTAGCTACCTATGGCCCTGAAGACACGCCACTGTCGCCGTCTACGATTTCGCGCTCCGCGGACATCGCTGAGCCCCTTGGAAAGTCCATCCACCACACCTCTACTTCGTCACCGCACAAGCGGAAAAGATCAGGAAGCGTGTCTACCATCTCGTCGCTATCGTCAGCCCCCTCAATACCTGATGAAATCCCACCACCATGGGAGCCACAGGGTGACGAGTCGGCAGGGGATGGGCGATCACGATCAGCTGGACAGCGCCAAGCCGCAAGCCGGGCGGCAGCCGGCAACAGACTCCGTTCAGCTGCCAGTGCCTCGACTCTCCCTTCTCAAGCTGGCCCGAAACAGTCCTATCCCGAGCTCGCAACTTCGTCCAAAGCGAACTCGAACAAAAAGTTCAAGAAGACGCGAGAAGACACCGACTTCGACATTGATGAACTTTCCAGGCGGAAGCGGCTTTATCTAGATGACAGCTTTCATGATTACAACACCATTCCTCGACCCGAAAGCCACGAACGAGACCCAGTCCATAGCCATCCAGAGCGACCTGCATCGACTGACAATCCGCCTCCCCCGGTTATTCATCCAAACCGCCTGGTTGTGCCCATCGCCACACTGACATCCCCAGTGAGTGCGCAGGCTCTGCCTGACAACACCTTGACCAACGGAGCCGGTCGCAAGAGAAGATACGATGAGGTGGACATTGATGATTTCGAGGACTCGACGCCCGACTCGTCCTCTCCTGGTCCGTTGCTTGTGCCACCACCACCGGGTGTGGCAAACGCCCACCCACGAGGTGCAACCCCAAGATCGACCAGGCTTCACCCGGCACAGAAAACACGCAAATCTGCGCGGGTCATGGTTTCGTACGTATTGCCCTCTTTTTACTTTCCCTTTGGTCCTGATGCTTCGCCTTGAGCGCGAGAATTGGGGGCCGAGGCCATTGTTGAGATAATCTGGATGGTACTGGCTCGCATGTCAGGCTGCCACCGACGTGTTTGGAAAGGCCACCACCTGCAAACCCATGCCATCACCAGTTGGATCTGTGTTCTAGGGGATATATTGGCTGACTCTTCACCCATAGGCCCAACAAGCCCAAGAATGGCGGAATCACAGCAGGAATTGCACGTGCGGGGCCCGGGCGCGATGCTGGGATCGGCAATTTGAATGGAGCGGATTCAGGCGCAGAGGTAGGAAACAAGCCCCGGGCAGCCCAACCCAATTTTCTTCCTTTTTCCCACCTATTTTCCACCTATTTTCCCACCCCCCGGCCACACCAGGCTCTGATCCTAGCCACGATTGGCTCCAGTCCATCATCCCCCCTTACCAACTTTTGTTTCCCCTTCTTATCCCAGTCTCATCAGTCTTTTGGGGTCTTTCTTTTTCCTTGAGACCGGAGTCCTATCCACTTTCTGTTTGCCTGCTTCCCCTTGGTTTCACTGAAGGCTTTCTCCGTTTGCCATAGTGATTGATGTTGCACCCATCAATTGCTGACTTGATTTTTCAGGATAACGACGAGTTTTGCGCATCGTGTGGTGGCGAAGGGAAGCTCCTTTGCTGCGATGGTTGTACGAATTCCTTCCATCATGCCTGTTTGGAGCCACCCCTGGATCCGGATGAAGAGGTGGAGGGTGAATGGTTCTGTCCGCGATGTGTGGCTCGGAGGACCAAACAGGTCCCTCATCCATCGGGTCTTTTTGGCCTCGTTCTTCGCCGTGTTGACGACATTATCCCGAAAGCCTACTCGCTTCCTTCCGACATTCGCGACTACTTTGAGGGAGTTCGAACAGGCGACGAGGGCGAATATGAGGAAGTCGGCCCTCCCCGCACCCAAAACAATACGGCCAAGATGAATCGGGCCGGCTTCATCGAAGAACCCAATTACAAGGAGACGCGCGATAGCAAGGGCCACATCATCAGATGCTATCACTGTAATTTGACTGCCAACGGCCGCGACATCATTCCTTGTGACTTCTGCCCGGCGAGATGGCATCTGGATTGTATTGATCCGCCTCTAGCCGTCCCACCGCGGCGTCGCCCTGGAGACAAACCGGGTGCATCGTGGCGATGTCCTCTCCACGTCGAACACGACCTGGTGGCCGCCGGCAGGCAGAGTGAGAAAGCTCCAGGAGAACTTGGCCGCGTTCCTCGATTACGCAAGCCGAAGAATGCAGTGCCACTTGATGTCAGTGTGAGCCGAGGTTTCCGAAACAACGGAATCATCGAAGTCGATCTCATGAAAGACGAACCTGAGTTGGACAAAACCAAGGAAGTCCAAATGCACGGCAAAATTTACCGAATTCCTGAGATGGGTATCAGACTGGATTTCATTGATCGGGTTAAGAAGAGCTGGTATGAAGACCAAGCCTTCCCCAGATTGATGGATGCCCCCAAGAGGATACGAAACCGCAAGTATCGTCCTGATGGCGCCGTTCTTCACCATCCACCTTCACAGACCATCGTCAAGATTCGAGAACCCGACTTCTTTACCGGCGCGAATGCTCTGGCCATCACCGAGACAGCCAAAGCAAATGTTGCTTTGCGGAGACGATCAATCCGAGAACAGCAAACCGTTTTAAACCTGGCTCAAATGTCCCAGAGGGGCATCAACGGCTACTCTGGGGATGCGTTGGCAGAATTGACAAATCAATTGATCAGCGAAGCCCCGTCTGACGTGGTGGATGCTGTCGAAAAGACTGAGCTTGATCAACTGCTTGAGTTGCAAGAGCTTATCAACCGAAGACTTGCCTTTTTGGGCCGCGCTACAAACACCTCACGCTCACGTTCACGCTCACGCTCGAGATCTGTCGATGCCGAGTCTTTGGACGGGAGCTATGCTGACGACGAGATGCCTCCTACCACCCAAGATCCCAGAAATGATACGACCGTTCGCTGGCTCACGTTGAATAATCTACCAACATCGTCACCGCCGTCCACCGATGATGGGCTACCTGTCAATCCAGCATTGCGTGTAGCTGCTGTGGCGGACGTCTCGGGTTCTAAGATGGCGAATGGCGACACGTCCGATGAGCGCGCAGTGGAATCCAAACAAGAAGAAGAAGATGGAGCCCGCCCAGCTCTACTTGATGAAGCCGCGATCCGCCGACGCGACAAGGAAGAAGCCGGTCTGAGGTGGCTCGATGCGTTCTTTCCGACGAGAACTGAGACTTCTGCAAAGTATGGTCCTACGAATAAGGCAGCACAGGGTTATGGAAACAGGAACAGCGTTACTAGGCGGGACCTGTCGCCTTGAATTTACTGCAAATCTAGCTAGCGACCAAGGCCTAGAAGACTAGGTGACAGTCGACCTTTTTAGATGCCTTCTGAGGACGCCGCTACTGAACGCGAGCACCCACTCCAACCCGAGATCTGAGCCCTTGAGGTTGTGTGAAAAGGACGGAGAGCCTATCCCAAAGGTGATCAGATGTGAGACTGGAGAAAGGAAAGGAACCCCCCTTGATGCCAGCAATCCGGACACATGGGAATTCGTCGTGACTTAGGAATTGGGATATGGAAAACCTGTTTTGGAGTCAAAGTTTTTGGAGCATGTTTTTCTGAGCTGCTTTGAGTCGGTCCACAGATCCAATTGTAAGAACTCGAGCCAAAAGGCAGAAGAAGAAGAAGAAGCAGAAGCAGAAGACGGAGACGGAGAAGACGACAAAGAAGAAGCAGAAGAAGACCTTGTGATACGTTAACACCCCTCCTTTTGCTGAGAACGTGAGAATACGTTCGTGCGTACAGCCGTGCGTGAGAGGCATTGAGGGTGGGTGGGTGAAATGGGAACGGAATGGGTTTTCTATTTCGATCTTTTATTCCCTTTCCCGGTCCTGGTTCCGGTCCTGATTCCTGTTCCCTGTCCCTGTCCATGTTCATGTCCATGTATAAAGGCGTAAATGGAATGGATGGGGCCAGTTTCTATTTGCTGCAATAGTTGATATGTACCACGAGGTACAGAACAGCGGGAATCAACCAGGAGGGATATGGTATATATGTACGTAGAAGATGGAAGGTTCTTTTTCTCTTCTTTTCTCTCCTCTTCTCTCCTGCTTCGATTCCAAGGGGTTTCTTCTCTCTTTGGTCTCTCGATTCGATTCGACTGAGGCTGGGACTGTGACTGGACTGGACTTGACTGTACTGTATCCATACATACATATGTACGTACCTACCTACTGCCGGTACTTAGGCACATAAGGAAACAGTGCGAGGTACTCGGTACAGGCTGGGCTATGTATGTATAGTCCGTCGATAGTGGAAAAAGAAAGATCTAACACACGGTCGGGATATCTTCCTTATCTCCCCCATCTTTCCTGTCCTACTTGCTGCTGCTTATCACGGTGATACTCTCTTGACTGGGAGAATGGACAATGTGCAAAGAGAGTTCGAATGTCGACAACGGACAGTATCCAATGACACAACATCAAAGCACCAAGTATGGAACAAGAAACAAGGAAATACCTTGAAGCAGCAAGGCTTTGTGGATACCAAAAAGGACGGCGAGTTTCAAAAAAAAAAAAGGGACAATTCATTGGCATTTGTCTGTCGGCTCCGATGGTTCTCACGAGACTCAACCAGCCTCGGATTGGAATGCGCACATGGCTGCCATTCCTGAGATTCAACGTGCACAGCTGGTCCTCGATTAAGAGAAAGAAACGCCGCTTGACGCCCCCAAGCTTGCGATGCCCTAAAAAAAACCTGCAATTCGTTTGTCATGGAAGTTGCCCGTAAAGTTGCCCAGCCTCCTGTATGTACTCCTGCACGATTTCCCAGTCGCCCTTGTATCAAACGCCGCTGAATGGCTGATGAGAACCACATGTCCAACGTAGTCGGGAATAGAAGGTTGGAAAACTGCGTCTGTGAGCTCTGCTTTGTCTTCAGCAGAGAGATGGCTGCTTGAGTTTGAATATGGCACAAACTGTCTTGTGCGTTGCCGGGATGAGTTTGACAAGGTGCCATTCGAGCTCTAGCCATGTCCAAAATGCGTCCAATGTCCCTCGCGATGGAGAAAAAGTTGTAGACGTATCAGCAAGACCTGACAAGAAAAATGGAAGAAATGGTGCTAGTATCCAAAATCTGATTAGCGTGAGGGAAACTTCGATTGTGATACAGCAAACGTATCACGAACCTCGGAACGAAAAAAGGAATCCCCTTGCTCCATTGCTCGAAGCCCTGGCCCCGCCATCTCACAAAATCGTGCATTTCTTGCTGCTCTTTTTCGGTGGGGGTTCTAGCGCTGCCACGATCGCCTCGTCAAATACGTCCTTAAGCTTATACTGAGTCAGGGCGCTGCATTCGACATATTTGACAGCTCCGAGCTCCTTGGCCATTCTTTCTCCGTCTTCCTTGCGGACAGGCTGCATCTTTTGCTTTGCAAGCTTTTCTCGGACAGATGGATCATCCCGGAGATCGGTTTGGGTGCCAACAATGAGACAAGGGACTCCAGGACAGTGATGGTGAACCTCCGGGAACCATTTTTCTCTCACGTTTTCAAATGACGCTGGTGACGTGACAGAAAAGCAAACAAGGAAGACGTCGGTCTGGGGATATGACAATGGTCGAAGACGGTCGTAATCCTCTTGTCCGGCCGTATCGAAAAGTCCCAACGTGTATGGCTCATCGCCGATCCTAGACACCCCCTTGGTCAGCTCACGTGCTCGGGCTGAGACGGGTTTGGATCAACAACGGCTAGCACCATCAGACCGGCGAGCTTGGGACAGATATCAATTTTGGAGATAAGATGTCACCAAGAAGTACGTGAAAGAACAAAACTTAAGCCACGTGAACGCGTAAAAACAGGGGTCGCGTTCTGAGAACAAAGCCACAGAGTACTCACATCACCGTCACGGCATAGTTGTCGAAGACTGTAGGGACATATTCCGAGGGGAATTTGTTTGTGGTGTATGAGATCAACAAGCATGTCTTGCCAACTGCACCGTCGCCGACAACCACACACCTGGAGTCGGAATATCAGTGGAACTGTCTCACTCAGCCGTGATCGGTAGACTCACTTAATCGTGGCAACAACCATTCCGTTCTCGTCTATTTCAAAGATGTCGTCCTCCAGTCGACGTATGCGGCTCGGATTCAAGGGTCTGAGAGGGCGCACTCTTAGTCTCTGTGTCGCAAGCACAATCTTCTTGAGACGAGATAACATTTTTGTTCAACTTACCAAAGGAAGAAGGGAACGGACGAGTAACGATTGTGTGAGAGAAGATTGAAACAGGCGGTGTTTGTAAGGGAGGCTCGAAGCTGTCACTTCTCTTTTCTGCCCGTGATATGAGGCGGTAAAGGAGTTCCAACGGGGAAGGACTGTCACTTGAATAGTACGTGAAGTCGAGCGTTTTAGGAAGATCAATACTGTCGTTTCCCATCAGCTTTATGTTACTCCATCTCTTTTTCTCACAGCCAGAATGCTCACAAGGTAGGAAGCGAAGGGGGGGTTCCAAGGTAGGCGCGAGTAGAGGGCAGGGCGGTCAACGGCCCTAGCGATCAGGATCGAAGAGGAAATTGACCAGCAAGAGAAGCGTTGGGTTATGTTCAAGAAACAGAAGATCCTGAAGGAAGTCTAGTCTTCAGTGCGAGAGCAGTGACATTTACCGGAAATGACAAGTTGCGAGAGGAGTCGTGCGAGGATGGAATGGATAAAAGGGACAGGGTTGGGAAAGAGACGTGATGGACGAGGTCGACGTGGAATGGGAATGGGTGATGGAGTCGCAGATACGGAGAGGGAGGACGCAGCTTGCCACGATAGACGAGGGAGGGAAATAAAGGGTATGGGGGTCGCGGCCTAGCTTTAGGCACACTAGGCTTGTTGCTTGGGCTGAGCCTTTGGGGGGAGCTATTAGGTAGAGCAGCTTGTCTTTAGGTGCAGCTCCGGCTCATCAGGCTCCAAGCCCGCCCGCGGTCCGCCTGGTAGGAAGGTCTTGACTCTTCAGCGGCTGCCCCGACTGTGACAGCTCTGGTTAGGCAGCTCTGCGCAGCTTTGGGGGCTCAAAACGCGTTGAACTAGGCTGAACCGAGTAGCAGGGTGGTCCCATCTCCCTCAAGGTCACTCACTTTGGTAACTCTCATCAAACTCAAGATTGCACTTCTGACTTGCAGCGGAAAACAAAGAGAATGCTCGCCTATCTTCTCTCATCCTTGACAACACTCAAGCCTTTGTACGATGCTCGATCTGGCATGGCTCCAAACGCGAAACTTTTGCGCGAAAAATAAACCCTCGGGACCTAGCAATGGGTATAACTTGTATGGACGGGATCAGGAGTTTCAGCTGCGGTGGTCAATAGTCATTTTGAGCACGCAATTCATTGGGCTTTCGAGGCACAAAGAATCAAGTCAACAAGCTGTGCATATCATTCCCCCACGAGGACACCCCCATTTCAACGGTTCCTACTGGTGGCCTTGTCCGACGCAGTTCCGCGAGTCATCCCCTGCAGCTGCTCCCCATGTCTGCCCAAGAGCGCGTCGAATACCAGCTACATGTCGACGCGATCGAGTAGAATCCGAGTCTGATGTCCGAGTCTTCAAGATCTGCTCCCAAACGGAAGGCTTTGATTGAGCCTTGTTCAGCTATCACATTTGCTATGAACTTATGCAAGCTACACCATTGCAGAAGCACCTGTGATATAGCCTTGACCTACCACGTCATACGTCCACCCCGACAACATGACTTGAAGCCGCCGCAATGCCCCAAAATCGTCTTTTGAGATGTCCGACTTTCGTCACAAGTTCACGAGGATGCAGTCAAAGGACGCATCGAAATGCACATTTTGGTTCACGCCATAATCCCACACTATTAGAACGGAGGTATCGCAATAAATCACCTGTAAAACCCTCATTCAAAACACATGCAATTCCACATTCTCCCAAGACCAGTACAGCCAAACCCCTCGACAAATTAGTTTTTCATTTATTTTGCCCCTATTTCCTCCTCAGCCCAACCGGAGAGACCTCCACGGCCATCGCTCGTCAGTCCCAGTCCATTAAACCCACTGGTCCCGAAGCCAGTGCCAAAAACCGATCCAAATCCACCAAAGCTGCCTTGCGGAGCATGCCCACCAAAGCCGCGTGACGACGACGAGCCTGGTTGCGTAGACTGCTGGCCACCAAAGAGCTCTTGCGAAAAGGCTGGGAGCGATACAGCTCGGGAGTGGGCACTCCTGCTTGCTCCTAGTCCGGTGTTCGTAGGGGCCAGAAGCCCACCGACGGTGGTGGACGCGCCATTGCTCATAGAGTTCGAATTGAATCCACCGCTGA